AGATACGTCTCCTCGTGCGCTCCTCACTTGGAGGCAAAGTGTGGGAGTCCCTGTTGGTGCATTCTTGACCCGCATCTTTCCTGCTCTCTCTCCACCCCCCCAGTATAATTTGCGAGTCTTCCTCAAAGCACCGGCTCGGGAGAAGCCGAAGCGCCTGCTCTGAGGCCCGGGGCCTAATTCAGGAGTCCTGCAAACTGCAACCCGACGGGCCGCTTGGGAGGAAGCCCCCTCCCCGTCTAATCCCCTCGGTCTTCAGTCTAAGCAAACCTGCTCCCAAAGGGCTGCCCATTCCAGGGGAACCCATTCCCTAGGCGCTGCTAACAGGCAGCCAGTCTTTTAGGAATCAAAAGCAGGGCTTGGAAGTAGGTCCAACACTGGGGGTCGGGGGGGGGGGGGTGAGTGCTTAGAAAACCCGTGGTCACATTTCCCCGCCATCGGCAGCACCTTGCTCGGCCCCATCGCCCAGATGCCCGCCCCCCCCCAAGGGCCTGGCCAGGGCCTGGCCGCCGGCTCCTGGTCGGTGTTTGACTTTTGCCCCCCCCCCCTCCTCCCCGGTCCCGCCCTCAGGCGCATCTTGTCTCCAGCTTACCCTGGAGTAGTCCAGGCTGGTCATAGCCGGGTTGGAGTCGACATGAGCTCTCACCAGGGCACTGATCAGACTCACCGGGGGCGAAGGGGGAGAGGGCTCCTGGGGGCTCTTCGGCTTCGACGGCAAGCGACCCCTTCGGCCTTTGAGGCTGTCGGTGCGGACCACTGCAAGAGAGGAGGGGGGCGGAGGGGGAGGGCCGGTCAGCAGCCCCGACAGACTTCCCGGGAGCCGCAGTCCAAAGCCTGCTCCGCCAACCGGCCCCTTCGCGGTCTTCCCTCCCTCCCTCCCTCCCTCCCTCGCCTTTGGCCAGCCTGCCTGCCTGCCTCGGGGATTTCTCGAAGGCATCCGGGACGCCCGACCCTGGACACCCCGGGCAGAGCCTGGCCTCGGGAGCCGGCTTCTGCTGCGCGGGGGGTGGGGTTGGGGGGGGCGAATCATTGCAGTCACTCACCGCCCCCCTCCCGCCCTCCCTCCCTCCCTCCCGCCCTGCCTTCCCTTGGCAACAGCCGGCTCCCAGCTTCGGGGCTCCAGGATTGGCCCCTCCTTCAGCCTGGGATGGAGGCCAGTTGTCTGCAGGCCACGGAGAGGACCAAGGCTCCTCAGGGCCCCCAGCCCACCCGGCCGCCTCGGAGGTCAGGATTCGGGCTCCCCTGTGTGGAGGCCAAGGCAGGCAACGTTCCCTCTAAGCGTGAAGTCTTGTGAGCAAAAAATGCTACTTTCTGAGCTAGTGGCATCAAAGCTGCGAGCGAGCAATTTGGCTGCTGCATAAATGAGTTTGCTCTGGAGCCACCCTTCCTGAGCGAAGACAAAAAGCTGTGAGCCCGAGGCTGAAAACCTGTGAGCTAGCTCACATTGACTCAGCTTAGAGGGAACACTGAAGGCAGGGTGTGCGTTTGGGGGGGTGGAGGGGGGTGTCCTGACCTGCTCCATCCAGCCCCTCCCTTCTTTTTGAGGCTGTACCTTCTTTGACCATGCCGACTGCCAGGCACTTCTGAAAGCGGCAGTACTGACACCGGTTCCGGCGGCGCTTATCCACGGGACAGTTCTTATTCGCCAGGCAGACGTACTTGGCGTTCTTCTGGACGGTGCGCTGCGGAGAGAGAGAAGAAAGAGAGACCCCCGGAAGGCGGCGTCGGTGAAAGCCCGCTGGGTTGGGGAAACGCTCCTCTCTCGTGGCCAATGCTCCCTCTACGCCGTGGAGTCTTGGGAGCAAAAATTCTACGCTGTGAGCTACTGGCATTAAAGTGGTGAGCAAGCGATTTGGCTACGGCATAGCTTAGTTGGCTCTGAAGTCACATTTCCTGAGCTGAGGCAAAAATGTGTGAGCCGGAGGCTAGAAAACTGTGAGCTAGCTCACACTCACTCAACTTAGAGGGGACACTGCAGTCGTGTCGCCGGGCACGTCTTCCTTCCTTCCTTCCCCTCTCCAACACATTTAGCACGAAAGAGCCGGCGAGCCCGCGGCTTCGCAGCTTCGTCCCTCAACCTCCGGGCCACTGTTTTATATGCCAAGCGGAGGAGCACACTCCGTAAATACGAATCCGTGGGTACTCATACTATTTGCATTCCTCGGAGACCTTCTCTCTTTCCAGTGATCAGATTATTCAATCAGGAGCGGGGGGAATAAAGAGATCACTTAATTTGACCATAGGGAATTCTGTTCCACTTGGTTAGCTTAGACACGGTTCTCTGTCCTAACCAATTTCAATCCGAAGGCCAAAAGAGGGAAGCGCATGCAAATCGCCCCCGCCGCCTGCTCTCCCTTCCTGACCGCGCGGTTTGGGGGGCGAGGGGGAGCCAAGAGGAGCCTGCGCTGTGCCCCCTCAGCCGAGCCAGGCTGCGGTGGGCACCAGCCAGTCAGGGCAGCGCCTGGTTCTGCCGTTTTAGGCCTCCCAGGGGGCAGGTCGCCAGGAGAGAATCCGGTCCAGGGAACAGGCACAAGAGGCCGGGCGCATTGGCGGGCTGGGTCCCCTCCCTCGGATTGTGAGGGTCGGTCCTGATGGGGCCGGAGAATGCAGTGGGGGAGGGCCTTTCCCTTCGGGTGGCTCTGGGCACTGAAGAGAGCATCCAGCCCAACTTCTGCGTTGCAGGGTCTGCGGCCAGACACACCGCCGGCGCTTTGGAAGGGACAATTACCCACAGCCAATATTGTTTCCAAAGGGGGGGGTTGATCTCCCCATATTGGGGGAGGAAGAGATCACCGGAAAGAGATCCGGCTGGGCAATTCGTCCATTTTCGGGGTGGGGGGGCGCCCTTTATCCCTGCAAGGCCTGGGCCCGGGGTGGGGTGGGGCTCTAATCCGCGTTAGCGAGAGCGGGTGAAGAGGCGGTAGCTGTTTGTGGGCGCAAAAAAAAGGAATGCGAGGGGGGTGAGCTGGTTTCTGCGGCTAATTGCGCCCGTGAACTTCTCAACCCGCTCCCGCTCCTGCTTCGGAAGTGCCGTAGCCCATCGGAAGACGAAGGGATCTCTCAGGGGGGCGAGCGGGGGAGGCCTCTAAGGGAGGGATCCGGCTTCTATGGCGGCCTGTTCACACCGGCCGGGCGATTCAGAGTGGCATCTTGAAGCAGAAGAGTTACCGCCTCCTGAGCCCACGGACGTCTATGGGCTTAAAAACCTGCGGTTCTGCTTAGGGTAACACTGTCTGTCCCATCCCTGAGCAACCCTAAACCCCTCTGCTCAGGATCTTATTCAGGTCTGCTCAGCAGGACTCCCATCGCCCTGTAGAGCGCGGCTGTGGCTACCCTGCCCGTACAAAAGGAGCGGCAAGAGGAGCCTAATACGGCCTGCATGGAAAGCCAGGCCAGAACTATCCTGAATGAATTCACAAGGCATTTAAGCGGGTGGTTTTGAAGTGCGGCTCGCAACCTGACTCCTGACCTCTTTTGCCTTGGTGTGAGGGGGGGGGGGGGGGGGGGGGGAGTTCCACCATGTTACCTGTTCAAGCTGGTGAAGCCGGGGGTTCTACTCCGAATGGGTAAACCGCAGTAATAACACACACACACCCCGGAGGTGGGAAAGGAGTATACAGGCTTGTGTGGTTTCTACACTGGGGGGGAGAGGCGGGGCCTCAGAGCCGAGGGAAGGCGCTGCGGAGGGATTGCGGGAGAGATCGATGCGTGTGGCGACGGGTGAACGGAGAGGGAAGCAGGGTGGGCGAGGAGGGACTCGAGGGCGGGCAGCTCACCTTGAAGAAGCCTTTGCAGCCCTCGCAGGTGCGGACGCCATAGTGCTGGCAGGCGGCGTTGTCCCCGCAGACGGCGCACAGGCCCTCGTTGGAGGGCGAGCCCCGCGAGGGCGGCGAGGGCACCTGAGCGTCCAGGAGCTGCGAGGCGTGCCCGATCTGCAGACCCGGGAAGCCGACGGCGGCGGCTGCTGCGGCGGCTGCTGCGGCGGCGGCGGCCTGCTTGCGGATGGGGTTGGGCACGGCGAAGGGCTGGCCGTCGTGCGGGTGGTGGTGGTGGTGGTGGTGGGCGCCGTGGGCCGCGGGCTCGCCGTTGAGCGGCAGGCCGTGCAGGGGCCCGTCGAAGCGCATCTGGCAGCTGCCCACCGGCGTGCCGGGCGGCGACTGCTTGAAGGAGAAGAGCGAGAGGCGCGGCACCGCCGGCGGGCCGCCCTTGTGGCCGCCTCCCCCTCCTCCGCCGCCCCCTCC